TCTTTTCTTTGTATTTCTTGAATGTAATTTCATTAGTTGCGATGCACCTTGGCAACATGATAGTGCCCTATATAAAATCGATTTGTACATTACCACAACGGCCAACTAAGGTGAATCGGAACCACATGAAAAGATTTTGTTCAAACCAGTGATCGGCGATGCATGTTACCACAATCAAGAATCAATATCATGTGCCATCTGCCAATATTCTGAGATTCAGATGCTGTAAAGAAGTAAACGGAAGTAATAGATGGCATGTTAATATTGGGCTAAACAAAGATACATGATAAATCTGTAACAATAATCTGATTTTCTGTTCCAGAAAATGATGTAGATCCTGGAAGGCTGGCTGCGTCATGCGTGACCGGATTCTTCCTCACGTTGTACGAATAGGTATTGCAGCTTATTATATGCATTCGTAGTAAAATTTTTAAGATTCATTTCTGATTCATTTTCAAGTGCAATTGCTATCTTGTGAGTCAACAATATGACACATCTAAGCTGAAAGCAAGCAACGTTCAACCACTCAAGTACCATTTAGCTTTTATGATATGGGGGGTGGAACCGATTTCAACAAGATTTGAGCATATTAAATCACAACTTATCATAAGTTATGAAATCATGACTTATCAGTTGAGACTGCTTATAGTGATTCAGGAAGCTGTTATAAATTGCAATTAAACGACAGTATTTCGCCTCACATACGCGCGTCTTCAGCTTGCCCAAAAAGTATAGTTGTTAAGGCTCGTTGGCTCAACATGTTGATGGCTGACCTGGGTCAATCTATACATATCCACGATATTTTAATCAAAATCAACACTCACAACACCTACTGGGAGTCACGAACTACGATTTCCTCAATGACGAAGGAATTTTCAAATGCAGTAATTGTATTTTAATTCTATCCATGTACCAATCTTCAAAGTTTAGTGAAAAACTCAACGCTAAATAAGCTTGAGTCAAAAGTTACTGACTGTGCAAATAAGTCGTTAAAACGTTTATTAGTTTCTGTGTTATTTAGTTAATCAATTCTGTTAAAACCTAAAATGTATGCTATTGTTAGCAGACCTGAATGAAACAAGAAAGTAATTTGCCACGGTTTGCACAACTGCTCATGGAGATAAACAAATACTAATCTCGATTCTAGAGATCTGCCTCACACATTGCCAAATTAGTCAATGATTATAGCTCAATAGTTAAAATATATAAATTGTACAAAAATGTTAATTAATTGAATTTAAAATATCAGTTTCACTTAAAGCAATCAGCTTATAAGTAATAGTATAAGCGGGATAACAAGAAGCTACGTCTTAATCTCGTCGGTTCTTGTGCCGTGTAAAACGCCTGAACGACGCGTCCCGTTTTCTGAATCATAAGTAAGAGCCCTCCCCATTTCTATTGCCCCGATAAACCGAGGTTGTGCGGCGAAAGCAAGCTGACTACCCCTCCAATTTTTTATCTCTCGAGGACCGATCATGCTAGCGAAATTAAAATTTTCAAGATGGACAGCAGAAATCTGCTTCAAAACGAAAACTTTCATTGCAAGATCATCCATACAATGATATAACCGAAAACAATAAATTAACCTATTTCCGTCGAGCACGCGGACTACTGTGTTCTGTGCAACATACTGTAAATCTGATTACTTTCCGACCTCCACTTTCAGACTCGTATGCCATATCACAAATGAAGGAAACGAAATCCACGTAATAACATCATGAAGCATGGAGACTAGCACATCACCGATTATTTGGGTTATGCTGAGTCGAAAAAGTCGAAGTCGAAAAAGTTAGGGTTGCTTTGAGCTATCTTATTCCAAAGCTCAGGCACTGGTACAAGTTCGGAGAGGTTCGACTCACCGTCTAACCCGTCAGCCTCCGCCAGCCGAAAAGATAATCAGTCTCTGAAACTGACTGATTGAGTGAGAAAATGCGGAGCAATCATTTGACAATTTGGTCACATTAATTCCTTCAGTCAATCAGAAGTTATATTTCCATAACCAAAAGTGACTGATCATTTAGATGATCTTAGCTTTACATATATGCCAAAATAGGTAAACGTAAATATAAAACGAACAGCATCGATCATTACAATTTGCATATTTACGATGAAATTATCTGTATTTATTATTTGTATGTTGATAGCTCTCCAATGGCTTTATGCAAGGTGCTGGTTTGAAGAAATCACGACATGCTGTTAAACATTGTAAGACTTACAGAAAATGTGTCACTCAGATCCGCGGAATATCATGTAGAGCGCAGAACGCTAATGCTCAGTAGAACGTACTCAAATAATGCGTGCTTCCTACACGCAAATAGTTCAAGATACCGCGAAACGCAATTGGTGGCTAAAGTTGAATAAGACCAATGGAAGATAGGCAATTGACATTAAAAGCAATGAAAGGTGTCATTCGTTAAAATTTGTTTTATGCTTCTGCTTACACAATCGCCGCTGTATCATAATAAAAGCTGTTCTAATGTAAACTTGTCATTTTGCGTAACGTTGCAGACAATGGCAATTCCAGCAGCAGGGAAATCTGCGAAGAGCCTGGATGGGTATACTTTCTAGAAGGTAATAATTTTTAGAAGTTGTTCAGACGAACGCCGTGCCACGGCACATATGTAGCATACATAACGTATGAATTGTTCTGTAATTCGTTTCTTTTGAGAGTCATCTGTTAGTCGATAAGACCTGCAGCTTCATTGTGTAATACTGTATCTTCACTACTGTTGTCTATTTATTTTCAGTCATAGCGTATGTCGATTTTCAGCGTTTTACTCATAAAAATCATATAGTTCTTACTGTGACTTCTATTTTGGCAATAACTTTCAATCTAGTCAGACCACGGGAATACATTTGTTGTACACTTACGTAATAATTAATAAAGCTAGAATTAGCTGACATATAAAGTACTTGTATATCTTTATTGTTAAAGACACGGTTTCCCTCGCCGCTTAAAACATTTATAGGCGATTATGCATGATGTTATTTTGAAAAATTACTGTTTTATAGCGTTAATTGCAATTTCTTTAAGGCAATATATTTGAAATTCATAAGCTTCAGCGTAAATGCTTCAAAGTGATATACTCTTATTTTGTGTCTATTTAAATTTTGTCCCGAGGCATATGAAAAGGTATTTTGTTATTGCATTAGCTTTCCTCCTGTTGCTTAAGTTTCAACATTGCTGCCTTTCAGTTTCAAGGAGATTACCTGAATTCTTTGTGTGGTGCAGAATTTTTCATCTTCAAATTCTTATTCTGTTGCTTTTCATGATAAAGTCTGTGAGTGTTTCCCATTATTAAGACTGAAGGGACAGTTAAACATCTGGTTGCTTTGAAAAGTTCTTGAGTTAATCACTGATTCCGTTCGTGGAGGATTTGTGCATGATGTGGCAGGCTCTGTCATACGAACACTGTTTTCATGTTTTGAACTTGAAACAACTTTTGAAACATTCTCCGCGTGAGCGCCTTTTGGCTCTGGCGATATATGTACGTACGTACATACATGCATAGTAAAATAGATACCTTTATACATGCATACACCTGCGTTTTTCCGCCATGCTTAATTGGAATAGACGTATCCTGATATTCTAATCTGGAGTTTGAAATAATTTGCCTGTTATGCAGTGGAACGAACCATTCCCTGCTAGCGTCTTCCTGTTAGTCGACCAAGGCACCATTTTAAGTGAAAAATAGATGTTTCTTTCTTTATATTGAGCATTTTCGCCGTTTTATGCCGGTATCAATATTTTTAATGTGATATCTTCAGCGGCGGTATAGAAAGGTCCCCAAGAACATCGGGGTTATATATTTTCTCCATTAGTTCTCCAGCGGATTGTGGCAATCTTTTATTCAACTTCAGTTTTTGATGCGGTCCTGCGTCCTATGCACTGCAGGTGCTTACTTACCATGGAGCCATGGCCTGCTTAAATGGTCCCCGTAGGTGTCCAGAAGCAAAGGGGCGGTGCAATAGAGCTGCTGGTGTA